AGGTCTATTAGGAAGTGGAACGATGAACACTGAATTTTTATAAAGCCTAATTATAGTTCGAAGAAAACTATTAGATTAAGTATTAACTAGATGAAGTAAACAACTAGATGAAGGAAACAACAGAAAACAATAAGAAAATGGAATAACATTCAAGAGGTTGTTCTCAAAGGGTTGTCGCCAAGGGATCGTCCTCAAGGGGTTGTCCTCAAGGGGTCGTCCTCAAAGGGTTAACCCTTCGTCTATAAATGATTAAATCATTACAGTAAAGGCACTAAACTATCATCCCATTAAACCATTATCCATTTAAACCAATTTTAGTTTAGTTATTATCCATTATCTCTCTCTCTCTCTCTCTCTCTCTCTCAGGTGTTGATGTTATTACCTTCATATTCTACTTGTTGAAAGGAATTGCTATATCATCACCTTGTGTAATGGTCAAAATAATGTACCACATGGGTTTCGGTATAACTAACTGTTATTATCTTTAGCGTGTGTTCAATATCACGGAGGGGGGGAATAATTTGGTGATGTGGAAAGGGAATGGTGAGCCTTTGACCATTGTGGAGGACTGGGTGTTGATACCGGGGGCGGGCTACTGTAGTCTGCCTTCTGGAGTTGTGTTTATGACTGTGACCCCCACACGCAACACTCTCTCTCTCTCTCTCTCTCTCTCTCTCTCTCTCTCTCTCGTATCTGAATATAGTAAATGGTTAACCTATCTGTTTGTGTCGACAGCCTCAGTGATGCGGGAATGTTAGAATACTGAAGGAATTGCTAGCCCAGAGTGTTAACGAGGTAGTCTTATCTTCACCCACCGCCCCTCTCCTGTTGGGCGGTGTGTGTGTGTGTGTTGTGTAGTGTTATGTGGCTTCGTGTGGTGTCATATAATGGTATGTGTTGTGTGTCTAGAGTAGGGATTTAGTAGAAGTATTGAGTAAATTAAATTATGCCTGTTTATACGACGTAGTAGCAGTCACGTCCGCCTGGCCTTGAGATAATGAAGCAACAAACGGATATACTGTACTGTACTGTACAGTGTATGATATCAGGTGTACAGTGTATGGCATAAGATGTACAGTGTATGACATCAGGTGTACAGTGTATGACATCAGGTGTACAGTGTATGGCATCAGGTGTGTATAGTGTATACCTGGTGGTGTGAGGGCCACCTGCTTGCCACACTGCCACACTACCCACCCAACTGTGACTCCCAAAATAAATACTGATTTATTTATTTAATTTAATGTCAGGAGCGAAATGGAGTGTAAAATGAAATTGGGGTGTTGATCACACACACGGCACTCTCACACACACACACACACACACACACACACACACACACACACATACACACACACACACACACACCATTACCTAGTTACCATGTTCTTGATTACATTATATCAGCATTATTCTCCTTACAAGTAACTGTACTGTACAATAACCTCTCCTTACTGTACCTGAAAGTAATATTTTCTCTTCATTTACAAACACGTAACAACCTATAGCCCGTCTGACAGATGGCTACAAGCAACAACATTGACAGCACAAGATAACATGACCACCAAGAAGGCAATAATATTCATGACACAAAAAGTTAAAGTTTGGTCAAATATATCAAGGGCTGTAAGATGATAGTGTTGACGCGTGGAGGTGACAACAGAAGATAGAGGAAATGAACATTTTTACAAGTATATAGACGAAGTTAAACACAAACGTTATGATGTGAAAGGAAATGGTAGATGAAAGGAGATGGATGGGTCATGTTTGGTACTATCTGGTAAGAGATTTAACAGAGTAGATTAAAAGTTACATTAATATCATGAGTTTAAGAGGCAGTTAGTTAGTTAGATCTGAAAACACAGCTGAATTATTTTTGTCATAACGATAATGTTTTTATTTGTATTGTTATAACTCCGATGGTTAATAGTGCATTATAATGGTACAACTGCCTCTCTTGCCCTTAGCATTTACAACAAAGACTAAAAGTACAACAACTATGGGCGTAGGTACAACAACTATGGACGTAGGTACAACAACTATGGGCGTAGGTACAACAACTATGGGCGTAGGTACAACAACTATGGGCGTGGGTACAACTATGGGTAGGAACAACAACAATGGGCGTAGGTACAACAACTATGGGCTCTTGCCCGTTAGCATTTACAACAAAGCAACAACTATGGGCTACAACACTATGGGCAACAACTATGGGCGTAGGTACAACAACTATGGCGTAGGTACAACAACTATGGGCGTAGGTACAACAACTATGGGCGTAGGTAGGTACAACTATGGACGTAGGAACAACAACAATGGGCGTAGGTACAACAACTATGGGCGTGGGTACAACTATGGACGTAGGAACAACAACAATGGGCGTAGGAACAACAAAGGCTAAAGGTAGAACAACAAAGGCAACAAACGTACACCATCAACCAGGAACACTCAGTATAGAGTCGGTTATTGGTAAATATCTAACCACAAAAAGTTTAATCTGTGGCAATAATAGGATTTATATTTGATAATCAGGTGTGAGACACGCCTCAAAATGTATTATGCAGGATTTAATCTCCTAGGAATTAGAGACTTGACGATAAAACGTGAGAGACGGATCAGAGAGAGACGGGAGAGATCTGACAACACGAGAGGGTAAACATCATCCCAGCAGCTTGCTAATAGGAGATGAGGTATCCTTTAAAGGGGCAGATAGTATGTTAGGAGGTGTGTGGCTATGAATGATTGTTCTCTGTGGATCACTGAGGGATGACGTCATGAAGGATACGACGTTTGTTTACAGTCATAGAAGCTCTGGTTGGACACAGGTAATTATAATACAAGAAGGTGGGGGGGTGAGATTTAGTGAAGAATTTATCAAGGGAAGAGTCATGCTAGAGAGGAATAGTGGACAAGAGAAAGAAAGAGGAGAAGGAAAAAGGGAAATATGACTTGAAAGGAATGAATCTGAACAAAAGAGGATAGGATCAAAGATACACAGTAGGATTAGACTGTAGTATAGTAGGAAAGGCCAGCTTGAGTGTAGGATAGCAACAGGAAGACTACAAAGTTTACGAGAATATATGAGACGATAGCTGGTACACAACGATAGCTGGTACACAACGATAGCTGGTACACAACGATAGCTGGTACACAATGATAGCTGGTACACAACGATAGCTGGTACACAATGATAGCTGGTACACAACGATAGCTGGTACACAACGATAGCTGGTACACCTTAATGCTGCCCCCTTCACCATCAGTACCAATACATCTGGTCTGATAGACTTACCACAGCCTGACCCCAGACTTGGCTGCTCTAGACCTCTGTGCCCCCAACTTAGGCCTACCTGGGTGTTGGATAGACCAGCCACACAGCGAATAATGACTCTTACACCCAGCTACATAGAGACGAGAAGAGCTCACATTAGAAGATGCGCATGACTAGTAGAGGAGTCAAGGTATTCTCCTCCTTGTGGTCTCTTGGCTTAAAGTCCATCGCAAATTTGTGTAGCGGGTATTTCGAGGGCACCGCCACCATTAATGTATGCATCCTCGTGATTGGAAAGTGTGAGTGTTCGTGAGTATGTTACACAATCACGCCCAGCTCCCCTCCCTTGAGAAGCCCAGTGGACAGAATATCTTTACTCTGAGAGACTGTAGGATGAGGCCATCAGTCATACAGCGTGGGGGTGAAAGACACTCACATCAGGGTGGAGGAGTCACCCCGGGCTTGGGGACAGAGACAGGGAAGTGTGGGGTTGCCAGGGTTAAGAGTCAGTGTAAGGGCTGAGTTATACGTCGACAACAATAAATGACTGGTGATAATATTCGGCTGGTAAGTAATTATATGTTATTATTTGATATGGCTGGAGGGATATTGATGACGATGACTGATGATCACACAGGTGCGTAGGACACCGCAGGCAGCACAACCATCCTGGTCATTACCTTATACTGATAGTGAGGCAACACAACCATCCTGGTCATTACCTTATACTGATAGTGAGGCAACACAACCATCCTGGTCATTACCTTATACTGATAGTGAGGCAACACAACCATCCTGGTCATTACCTTATGCTGATAGTGAGGCAACACAACCTTATACTATGAGTAAATGAGAATTTAAACTGTTCGAATTTTTCTTAAAACACACACCCGTAAAACTCACTTTTTCATAGTAGAAAAACAACCTTGGGATTTAATCTACAAACTCTTAAAAATATAAGTCAGAATATCTTAAAGTACATATGTTGGTTAGGTTAGGTTAGGATAGGATAGCTTAGGTTACCTTATGTAAGGCTAGATCAAGTTAGGTTAGATTATGTTAGGTTAGATCAAGTTAGGATAGGTTATGTTAAGTTAGATCAAGTTAAGTTAGGTTAGATTAGTTAAAAGGCAATATAATGAAGTAAACACTACATTTCGTTTATATGTTTTTAAAATATTAATATTTAAAGACCCGGGAGACTGTCTGATGAGTTGTTACTTACAGCGACTTACAACTCCAAGCTTATTATGAGTCGAATTAATTCTTGCAACGATGCTCATTATTATTCTCCTTCTGTATGTTAAGTTGACCGCTTCTGTTGACGAGTGATAACCCACGTCACTGTTGCTCAATTATATGTTCTTCATTTATGACAGTGTACATGAATAACGTCACATTAATATACTGTAAACACGTATTATGTTGGTGAAGCGATTTTGCTTGTTTTGTTTTTGTAGGAGTATGTCTGTGAGTGAACCTCTTTTCGCGCGTCTGTGTTGGTATGTTTAGCTTAACCTTGCCAGACAACACGTGGAAGAAGTAATTTATTCTTTGTTTATAAGCACAACCCTAACTCGTAACCATGACTTAATGGTTCCTTTGTTCACCTCACCTCTTTGAGTTACACACATACACAATAAGACGTGTTTTTTCTTTCCCCAGGAGGGTCTCCGACTCGCCTCTGGACCAATTACAATACAGTAACACGTATTCCTTCTTTCCCCAGGAGGGTCTCCGACTCGCCACTGGGCCAATGGAGGTATTAACTACAAGGTGGACGACAAGCTCTCTACTCTCTCCAGGTGAGTCTTATGAGGTTATATGCGGAGTTATTCTTACAAATATCTTATATACCTGACTCTTTAGTAAAAATCTATAGAGAGTAGAACTTGGGTGGCTGCAATAGAAAGTTTGTCACTGGTACAATTGTGAGGCAGATTCATCTCATACCAGTAACTATACTCTTATGATATTGTGAGTTAAGGAGGGAATCATGAGTAAATATTCATCGTAAACATTGTGAGGGTTGTGAGAAGGTTGGACTCTTTTGTCTTGATTCTCACAATGTTCTCTTTCTCCATTGAGTGTATCGACCTAACAACACAACTACCAAACACAACACAAAACTCAACATCCTCTATGATGATAGACTGTAGTTGGCTGCCAAGTACTGCACTGGAGACCAACACACACCTCTCTACAAACTGGTTATATAGGAATAGTGATCTACATGTTGCTGCTGTTGACTTTTATCACTTTAGTTTTCATCAAAGGACACAATTAAGACTGTTCTATAGCATAAACCACTCCACCAGTGAATCAAATGAGTAGCTTCACCTATTGGGTGTGTGGATATACTGTATAAGAACACACAATATTTTTTCGTTATTATCTTCGCCGCTGACCTGGCCTGTTAGCTGCTTGGGTGGTTGGTCATGTTACGCTCTCTTGGCAAGTACTGGTTCTCTGTTACACACTTGACAAGTACTGAATATCTACTGACTCCAGAATGTGTTTGTACCTACGCCAGTGTTGATCAAGTCAGGTCACGAATGAACTTACGCTTGGTTCCCACTATACGTAAAGGAAACTAAGCAAGCGTTGGATAAAAAATTCCATTATAGAAAAGAGTCATAAAGAATCTTTAAAATACTCCATTACTAAATAAAGGTGTTGTTCATAGTTTCATCTCGCTTTATACAATTCAGTAGTTGGATAAGGTCAATGAGTCCTCCATGGTAGAGTCTCGGTAAACATTTTGGTTGTGTTGATTCTGGCGTATATAATAAACGTTTCCATGGATATAACCTAATTGTGGAAACTCGACTCTACATTATTTTACATTATTTGACTTTATCCTCTTCGCTACTGTTCGGTCTGTTAGCCAATTGGGCGGTCGGTCACATCTCTGTATTTCAGGGTAAGGTTCATCTACAGTATTTTATATAACTATTATGCATAAAGTTAAATTCTACTTCTTTGTTTAAGATCATATTTTTCACTCTTGGATTTTCACTAGTATGTTTGTTATATTGTAAATCATGTTAATATACCTGGAGCAAAGAAATAAGAGTTTGAAAACCATACACACATAAAGTAGACTGCCAGAAGGAAATCTATCTTAAACTATTAGCATATGGTCCTTAGGTAGCTTTAGTTTAGGTTAGGTTAGGGTAGGTTAGGTTAGGTTAGGTTAGGTTAGGTTAGGGTAAGTTGGTTAGTGTAATGAGGTTCATATATGATATTCCTAATTGTTTTTCCCCTTTCTTTACCCCAACAAGATTTGGATTTTAAAGTATTTGCCTTAAAACAACTAATTTAGAATATTTCTCGTAAACAAATAAAGGTAAATCAACAAACAATCTTGATCTAAATTTAATCTATATTCCTCATAAATGTACCTATATATTTGCATGGTATTAGTAACGTGGACAATATCCTATGAAACAGTTGGACCTACGACCAGCCAGCCAGGAGTATAACAATATTTAGTAATGTTTCCCCTTTGAGGCAAGATAGAAAATGGACAAGTTCTTCCAGGCCTGAGAGAGCAAGAGATGCTTTAATGGCTAACTAAGCTATCTTTAATACATCAAATATACAGTACATTTTAAAGGGTTAATATTCGTCTTAGGACTCCACGCGATTTAATATTTGGGATAGTAATTTTCTTGAATCAAAAAATTATTATTTCAGTTTCATACAACCATTTTATACAATTCCGTCGCGAATGAACTATAATGTCATTTAATTTATCAAAAAAATTCCAAGAAAATTCACCGGGCTTTGAAGTAGAGGGAAAATTTGGGGTAAAATACTATAAGATAAGAACACCTAACAAACCGTTGAGAACCTTACCCTAACCTTTCCACACGAGTAGTCTCATTTCAGTCACTTTTATGCAAGAATCAACTAAATTATTTCCAGTATGAACGTCTCACATAAGCCTGGTGGTTGTGGTTAAAGTGGAACATTGACCTACTGTTTGTTTGGTCTACTACTAATCTTCCCTCTTATCTCCACTCTTTCTCCCTTCTTATCCCCCTCTTTCTCCCCCCCTTCTCCACCTCCATATCCCCCCTTTCCCTTTTCTCTTTATAACCCACTCTTCACCCACCCACACCTCCTCCTCCTCCTGCTGCTATCCTCCTCCCTCCTTCCTTCTCCTCCTCACATCCATCCAGATCTCCTCATCCTCTTTCCTCCCTCCATCCACCCAGACCGCCTCCTCCTCCTTCTTCATTCTCCTTCTTCCATCCATCCAGACCTCCTCCTCTGACCTCCTCCTCATCCTTCCTTCTCCTGCTTCAAACCACCCAGACCTTCTCCTTCCCTCCTCCTCCTTCCATCCATCCAGACCTCCTCCTCTGACCTCCTCCTCATCCTTCCTTCTCCTGCTTAAACCACCCAGACCTCCTCCACTCCTTCCTTCCCCCATCCGTCCAGGCCCTCTCCACCCCCGGCCTCTCCACCCCCGGCCCTCTCCCTCCTTCCACCCAGGCCCTCTCCACTCCCCAGGCCCTTTCCACCCTTCCCCCCGGCCCTCTCCACCGTTCACACCTGAGTGGGCATTACTAGCAGTCAGCATTAGCCACCCTCTGCTGCACCTGCGTGACGCCCGTCTGGCCACTCATTTGCATGCAGGCGCTCGGTGGGCTCCAGGAATCCACTTACCGAGTGTTGGGTGAGCGCTGCAGGTCCGGCCGTGTTCGCATACGAAATCCCGTAGGACCCCTGGCCAGGCTCCGGCTATCGCACATGGGATAACGAATGGTTCTCTTCGCATACGAATTCCTGTATGTGTCCGGGTATCCAAGAATACGTTCGTTTTTTTTTCTGGCTGTAATTGTGGAGGGGATAACGCGTTGTGTATCCGTTCACTTTTGCTGTCGAACTTTGAAATCACGTAAGTAGTTATATATGAATCACATCATCAGTGGACCAGGTGGTTAATTGCATTCTCACCTGTCCAATCAAGTGGGAAAATTTAGCTTAAGAACTATACGAGAATATTACCATGGACTGCTGACCCAGCTTCACATATCGCGGATTGGATAACGAAATGCAATCACCGTTTCAATCTCCAAGCCGTCGTAGGTGGTCGGTTAGTTAGATAGAATTCTCGACGAGGACTTACCATGAAAAAGCGGTGGAGGGATGATGGGCAGGTGAAGCGGCCAGAGAGACAGGTGCACGCCGCCCAGCCACACGCACCTGCCCCAGCTGACATCAACAGTGTCTACTTGAAGCCGCTAACTTAACTGATATCTTTCTATTTCTCACTACATGACTGATTCTTACGATGTCTCTCACTCCTTCGTTATAAACTGGATCAATATGAGTGTTACAACCAGGTGTGTGTGTGTGTTACAATCAGGTGTGTGTGTTACAACCAGGTGTGAGTGTGTGTGTGTTACTACCAGCCAGGTATAAGTGTTACTACCAGGTGTGTGTGTTACAACCAGGTGTGTGTGTTACAATCAGGTGTGAGTGTGTGGTATAAGTGTTACTACCAGGTGTGAGTGTTACAGCCAGGTGTGTGTTACAAGAGGAACAGCCACCAAGGTTATTAGAACCCAGTGGTGTGTGTTGTTGTGTTCAAGGAATACTGATACAGGCTGGACACACATTAGCTGTAAATGGTCGTTGTATTATGCATTTAGAGAAGCACAAGTTAGGTGTTAACAACTTGTGTATAGTGTAATTTTATACGTCCACAATATCCTGTTACCACCATCACCACCACCGCCATTAACACCACCACTATCACCATCACCAGTAACACCAACCAAACACCATTAATACCACCACCTACCACCACCACCACCACTACCATCACCACCACCACCACCACTATCACCACCACCACCACCACCACACCACCACCCACCACCACCCACCCCCACCCCACACACACCACCACCAACACTATCACCACCACCACCACCACCACCACCACCACCACCACCACCACCACCACCACCATCACCACCATCACCATCACCACCGCCCTGCACCACCACCACCACCACCACCACCACCACCACCACCACCACCACCACCACCACCATCACACTACCAACAACTAAGTGGACGTGAAATGCGAGACGACTGATAGACTTAACTTGATCTGCAGTAAGAAGATTACCTGAAGACGTAGAAGCTTTAGGTGCGTGAGGGAGTGCAGAGGTTTAGGGAGAGGAATGAGTGAGACAAGGTCGGGGTATTAGGGAGAAGAATGGGTAAATAAAGGAGTAAGGGAGAGTAATGGGTAAAATGAGGGAGTAAGGGAGAGTAATGGGTAAAATGAGGGAGTAAGGGAGAGTATTGGGTAAAATGAGGGAGTAAGGGAGAGTAATAAGGAAATAGAGAGCAATGAAACAAATAATCAAACAATATAGACATACGACGTTGAATAAACAAAGCAAACAAGGAGAACACGATGTAAACAATGGGTGGTGAGGTTAGTAACACACAGGGAGCGATACACTCAGTGAGGCGTGACACACTACATCAACACCTACGACATATCAAGACTGTTAGTCCCTCGTAGATCATAGCTTTGGGGAGGAGGAAGGAAGGAGGGGCTAAGAGAAGAGGGAGGAAGGGTGAGAGAAGGGGAGGAAGGAAAGAAGTAAGACAGGAGTTAAATATAAAGTAAAAAACAATAATATGGAGGAATGGATGAAAGAAAGTGAAAAGGATTAGGAAAGGAAGGATAGGTGGAGTGTTGAAGGACAGTGGGGAAGGATGGAAGGAGAAAGAAGGAATTGTAGGAAAAGTTGATAGAAAAGATGGGAGA